ATTATATATGTACATATTATTTATCAATCAAAACTACATGTAAATGATACTACAATAACTTCAAGAAACTGTTGAGTATTACGAATATGTTAATATTTTGGGATGCAGTAACTAAATTTTTAACAAACTACATGTACAATGTATTAGGTAATGCTCACAAAACAACAATAAAGATGAAGTTGATGTCATGACAAACACATACATGTACTGTATTTCCTTAAATAAAAGCCCGGGCGTCTATTTCCTAAAATGGTATTTGGACCTCAAAAAATATATAAAAAATAAAAAAAAATTAGGCTCAGAGCAGGGTTCCAAACCGTGACCTCATGCTTTTGACTTCTGGAACTTCAGGTGTTATCCACTAGACTACTGAGTCACTATTAGGCTAGTGTTGCGTATTTACAGTTTAATTCTATTGCTACCCCGGCATTTATTCGAATGCGGCTTCTATTTAAGGATGTACAGTACATGTACATGTACACATGCCAATACCTTCAATGTCTTTCCTGGTCTAATGATTGGGAATTCATTCAATTGGTTTTGACTTAAATCAATCTCAGTAATCCTTTCCAACCCAACTACTAATAACAAGATAAAGAACACCACATACTCTAAGTATATACTGACTACATTTAATCCACTTACAAGGTGGTAATGCTTTTAACTTGTTTTCAGATAGTGATAATTTAGTCAAATCTAAAAATAAAGATAATTAAAACATATACTACACAAACATATACAGTGTACATTCAAATTTTTGAGTGTTAAAAATTTTATAATTTTGATGAAATGTGTTAAAAATTAATATTTGTGCAAGCTAATTTTCATATTCTGGCCATAGTCTATATAAAATAGAATGGCAATAGAGGCGGTTTAAATTGTAAGGATTTAAGGTGAGCACAAATAACAACAGAAATTACCACACATATGGTACTTCTTGTTAAATCACTGAATTATGATACAGTGACTGCTTGAAACTGATTTACATGTACATGTACTCACTCCTCATTTCTCCAAGGTTAGGTGGTATCTTGTTCAATCTATTCTCCGATAAATTAAAAGTTCTCAAAACTGTCAACCTCTCAAGACCGTCAGGTAATGCCCCCAAGGAATTACCACTTACATCCTAAACACAAAAATACATGTATTTTAAACACATATTGATGTCCTTATACATTGTATTAACTTTGAGCTGATTCTGTTCAAATTTCAAATTTTTACAAAATTTTAAGTTGCTCAAAAATTGGGCCAAATTTGCCAAATTTTTTGCCAAAAATGACTAGGAGAAAATTCTCCATTTTTATAATTTTTCCTGATACATATACAAGTTCTTATGTTGTGTAGCAAGTTTCAGCTAGTTTTGATCAAAATTGGATTTTTTAATGAATTTTTAAAGTTGCTCCAAATGCCATGTACTGTATTGTAGTGCTTGTCAGCTCATGAAGCTCATGCTGTTTAGCTCACTTAGCATGCTTTGTGGAAACCCTGAAGTACGTGAAACCCTGCAGTGGCCTAATGTAAGTTATGTGGTGTGTGTGTGTGTGTGTGCTGTACCAGTTCCTCTAGGTGGGAGAGACTAGTGATTGAGTGTGGTAGAACAGTTAGTGAATTGTGAGATATATTGAGATACTGTAAATTAGTCAATTGGCCAATGTCTACTGGTAAACACTGTAGTTTATTATAACTGAGGGAGAGATAAAGGAAACAAAGAATGAACTAAATACAAAACAGAACAAGTGATGGATACTGCATGTCAGAAAGTCTGAGTCACTAAATTTTTCGTAGCCTCAATTAAATTTGGCTAAAAAATCTATTAAATAAATCAACTAGCACGTGAGCAAAAAGCAAAAATTAAAACAATTATTATGAATTTATAAATAGATAAGTACATGTATGCATGGAGAGAGATATACATGTACATATGGTAGAGAGTGGATACAATATTTACCTTGCAAATATTTTAGATAGTTTATCCAGTTTGATCACATTATTAGGTAGACATCTTAACTCATTGTACTGGACCTATAATAACAATAACACACAACATGTAAACATAATTATCAGTCTTTATACAAAAATAAACAACAAACTAAACTATAAACAAATCTACAACATTCAAGGGAGTTCTCTCAAACCATGCAGTATACCATGCTATTACAATTTAATTCATACATACATGTACACTAAACATGTATTATAATGATATTAAAAATCTTATATTTTCATTCTCACCTCAAGCGCTGACAATGAATTAAAGTTTTCAATATCTTCAGATATTTCTTTGATTTCGTTAGATGATAGATCCAGTCTAGTCAGTTCCACCTGGTCCCACCATCTCTCATCAACATCAAATGAAGCAGTACTACCATCAGGAGGATCAATATTGAGTCTCCACAG